AACGTTGCGGTCCTCCGTCACGGAAGCAGCCAAGCCTCATGTTCAGTTTAAGCTGCCTGGCTGCCGGCCGCCATCCTTTGTTGGCGTTAATTTGCATATGTCGCTGATTAGCCAATGGGAAGGGTAGGGAAGTTACGGCTAATTACCATGTTTCTCTTTTATTAGATAGGATGAGCAAAAATAGATACAGAGGCAGAGCAGCCTCGAACAGACTGTCAAACTACAGCGGGAAAGCCGGGGAGGGTTGAAGGGCGGGAGGGGGTGGGGGTAAGAGTTCAACCGAAGGAGTTGTATTCATGCACATAAGCATAACCAATGGACATAAGACACGGGGGGGTAGGGTAAGCTGGGGGATTGTTAAGGGCTGGGAAAAAAGGAGACATACGTAATACTTTTTGTAATACTTTAAGCAATAAAACAATTTAAAAAAGAAAGAATTCTTACAGTTTGCAGGTGGCAAAAACCCAGTTCATACTACTTTAAGCAAAAAGAGAGATTGGTCTGAAGAGCCTCGGGATAGTGTAGGCATGACTCGGTCCAGGGCCTTAGAGCATTGCCAAGATTCATGCTCTCCGTCTCCCTCTCCCTCTGCTCTGCTTTCCTCTGGACTGTCTATTCCGAGGCTGCTCTTTCCACATGGTGACCTATAACAGCTTCAGGTTTTCATCGTTCAACCTAGGAACCCCTATAGAACGGAGTCCCTTTTCCCGCTAGTTCCAGTGAGTCTCCTGGCTGATTCGCAGTGAACCATCTTGGGTCACTTGTCCATTTGTGGACCAGTCACTGGCCATGAATGGAAGATGCTCACAGCCCTAGGCCAGGTCCGGTGCTCCTCCCTGGAACTCAGGGTGCCTGGGTCCTGCTCTGCCCCAAACTCCTGATCTGAAAGTATGATTTCCCACAGACAACAACATTGAGAAAGAGTGCCAGGCAGACAGGGCAGCGGGTGGAAATCATGAGCAACTGCCTGTGTTCCTCCAGGTAGAAATCTTTCAGGCCCATTTGGCTGATGGGAAGGGAAAACAAAACGGCAAAGCAGTGAGTGGGCCGGGCAGGAGGGAAGCTCAGTCCTTTATTTAAGGAAAGTGTGATTAACACCTCTTCTAAGTCAAGGCCTTTTCAGCCCATGCCACTGCTTGTCCACGGGGCCTGTTTGCTGTCACGGGACAGATAATTATTTTCTTTCTAAGATATATTTAAGTGGAAGGAAAGACAATAGAATCAAAATATAGTAGAAGTGGATCTGACAGCCATAGAGCTGCCCTTGGAATTTAACACCTGGTGAGTTGCATAATCCTCCTCAGGAATTCTCTAGAAATCCTCACTACTGGGGAGTGAGGAGGAGAGTAACAAAAATCTGTCCCTGTTGGAAAAAACCAGGCCCCAGAAAAGCAACTTTCCTTGCGAAGTTGATTTTGTGCTAAAGCTAGCGAGTATCTGAGGTCTGTTTGAGCAGCATAAAGGGATATTGCCATGCTTCACTTTGTATTAATCACATGAGCTCCCTCCATAGCTCAGATTATACACTTCCACTCAACCCCAGGCCTCTGGCCACCTTCTCTCTGATAGCAAATTCTTTCAGCTGGAAATGCTAGTCTTCTTTTAACAATGAACATAGGAACCAATGGATGATAGCAAAGAATTAATTCATAATATTTTAAGAATACAAGAGTGAAGTCCCAGCTGACTCTTTTGCACACCATAATCCATGTGTGTTTATCACCTTTCAGAGAGGAAGAGAAAATTGTACCCACAGCCTTGAAGTACATTCCTCCTTAGTGCTGTATTGATTTGTTCTCCTGGTCATCTGTTCAGAAATACATTCATTACATCTGGGAAACTGCAAAGATGATTACTGCAAATATTTTCCCTTATTTATTAAAAAGAGCTCTGTGAACGTAGCCCCCGCGGAAAAGGAGCCCCGCGGCGCCTGAGCCGAGCGGAGGATGGAGAACCGGCCTGGGTCCTTCCAGTACGTCCCTGTGCAGCTGCAAGGGGGGGCGCCCTGGGGCTTCACCCTTAAAGGGGGTCTGGAACACTGCGAACCGCTCACGGTGTCGAAGGTAAGAACTGGCGGCTCTGCCCCAGCAGTGCCCAACTTTGAATGGGCAAACGGGTGTACAGGCTGCAGAACGGGGCCCTCTGACCAACTTTGAAACTTGGCTCGGCCTGAGGGGTGAAAGCCCCCCTGTGGCTCATTAGCAGCACCGAGAGCTTTTGCCACCAGCCCGGGCACAGACAACCCCTGAAGTGTGGCGGGAGCACGGGTGAGCCCACGGCTGGCCCCAGGCTAGAGCGCTGCACGCAGACACACTCGGGAGGCTCTTTTGCTCCCCCACGTCGGGGGCGGCTGCTCCCCTCACTTTGACTAGAGGAAGTGGTGGCTGATGGGGGTTTCTCCTTAAAAGTTCCCGCGCCCCTGCAGGACAGCGAGCGGCCAAAGGGACAGGCAAGGCGGCTTGGCAGCTTTCTCAGCCGCGGTGGCCCTTGGTCGACCAGTGGGCCATCCTGTCGGGGCAGGTTGCAGGGCTAGGGTCTGGTGTGGGAACGGAGATGAGGCATCGGTGACTCTCGTCAGCCTCACTTCCCACAGCCGGACGCGCGCACATCCATTCAACTCGTGGGGCGTTGCTGCCGCCGCCGCTTAGGTTTGGCCTTTCCCTCCCTCCCGAGTCCTGTCCCAGCGCCGGCGAGATTTCCTGCACGTTGAGGAGTGTGGAGGAAACTTTTGCGCCATGGAGCGCAGCTGTGCTGGAGCTGCCGCCGCTGCCGCCAGGGTTTGTTTGTTTTAGGAGGCTGTGATCTGCTGGAAGCCAAGTCACAGCTGAGGACCAGGGAGAGGAGCCCTCCCAAGTGCCCCAGAACCCGCAGAACTAGCCATTCCCGGTAGGCCTGAGGGTGGGGGCCTCAGGGGCTGTTACTGGGAAGAGAGATTTGTAGGACAACTCACCTTGAGGTGCCAGATTGCCAAGTAAACGAACTTCATGTACTTGATCCCATTTTTGTTTTGTTGTTGTTGTTTTTTTGTTTTGTTTTTATTTCTCTTAAATGCTTCAACCTGAAAAGCCTTTCCAACCCGCTGAAATTGCAGTCGAGGTTGTAGATGTGGGTTTGGGCTGGAGATAGAAAGATGTGACTTCTCAGCAGGGAACAAATGTCACTTCTTCTTTGGCTCTTTAATCTGGGTCATGTCTCAGCAGGGGCGCGAGTGCCCCCTAACCTGTGCTGTTTTTGCCTTGCATTGGAGCTGCTGGTTAATTTCTAGAGTAGGGGTCCTGAAGGCCTTGGGGCCCACCCACACTTTTAGCAACCCTATGGTGTTGTCATAGGGTGTACCAATCACCTTGAGCAGTCTGAGGTACGCTGAGGCAAATTTTTGAGGAGTTGCCAGGGAAACCTGGGATCTTTAGCCTCCCCTGACACCAATAACTAGTCCAGATCTTCATCCAACACTCTCTTCCTCTGTACTAGTCCAGTATTTCTAACCAGCCTGAGATGCCTTTGTAACCCACTGTCATACCCCCTCCTAAGGCACTTCCCTCCCAATAGTCTCTGGAGGGAGTAATATGCTTTTCTTTAAACAAAAACACTGTCAAAAAACCCCTTTGGAGAAGGGAATCCTGGCCTTCAGGATTTCTTCTAATCACCCCCCACCCTCCTTTTCCATCAAGGTCACAACTGGCTATGTAGCCCTCCATGATCTGGCAGTTCCTCTCTTTCTCCTTACACCACCCACAGAATTTCCTCTCTCTGCCTAAACAACCTGCCTGGGAGAGATCACTTTTGACCTCTGCCCAGGATGACCCATCCTGAGAAGTACCCCAGAGAGTGCTTGCTCCTGAGCTGCTGGATTGTTTTGTGAGCCAGCGCTAGCATGGCAGGGGGTGTTACTAAGTATGGGGCAGCCAACAATTTGTGGTCTGGCTGGGGGATTATTTGCGGGTAGATGAGGGTTTCCTTCGCCAAGCTGCTGAGGAAGTGACTCGTGTGTTGAGAGGCAGGGTGCCTTTTAATGATTCCCTTTCCATTGAATGTACAGGTGACCCCTATTATATGAAGGCTCATTATTACACACATTTGGAGATATAGGGGGTAAAATCATTTCTCCCATCCCTCCCAGATAGCCTGGCTCCTTACAGTAAAAGCCAGCTATATATAATCTGGTTAGCCCCAACAATATATAAAGGGGCCATAGTATTCTTTTCAAGTGCAGTGGTTGCCTATTTTTTTTTCTTGCCAAGACACCTTATGGCACATTTCATTCCCCTTAAGCTTCAGAACAATATAGCTTTCTTCTTGAAAATAGCTTCAGTATGAACACACTGGTGGTGATGGAATGGAAGGGCATAGAAAGAGAATCACATTGGCAGATGAAAAATTTGGGGTCTAATCCTTGATTTGCTACTCACTAGCTCTGGGATTCTTCATACTTCACTTGTCCTCCATGAACTTAAGTGCCATATGTCTACAACGAGTTTCACGTGGGTGGTTTTTAAATAAGACGATGACGGTCTAGTAGCCAATCCTTTATGCTAGCTCAGGCCCTTTGCTCCTCAGAAGGGTTTCAGACTGAGGAAGATGATGCTTTGTTCCACTTTCACACAGGGTTACTTTTATAGTGTGTTTCCACATCCCTTATTTTATTAGCATTTTACAGGCCCCCTATGAGGAAGTCAGGGAAGGTTGTGGAGAAACTGATGGAAAAACTGAGGCCAGAATGCACTGAGTGGCTTGACTAAGTTTATCTTCTGGTAGTACTGTAGTTTGTGAAGGGGCATGGGGCAATGACATTCAGGTATGTATCCAGTTTTGGCAACCTCCCACCCCAGTGACCCTTTCTATGCCAGCTTATGGTTCCACAATGGGCCAGGACTGGGTTGTAGACACTCCGTGATGGAATCTTGGCTCAGGGAGTAGGAGAGGACTATTTTGATGATTCTAAACCACGTGTGATAATCTCAGGTTGGCAGAGACAGAGGTAAAGTACAAGAATCATGGTTGAAAATGGAGAACCTCCTTTGGTATCATGGGGAAAGAATCTCAAAAATGATTTGAGTATGGATGGTATGGCATACATGCTTGGAGATAGCTTGTGGAAAATGTGGAGTAATCTTGAGAGTGGATGGATTTGAGAAAAGGTGACTAGTGGGAAAAGAGTGCATGTAGTGTGAAAGTCTACCTCATATTTGTCATGGGAAAAACCTTTGGACCAGGAAATAATCAGGTGAGGGAAATTATCAATTCCTACCAACTCCTGTGATTTTCCTGAATGTGGGGAATTCAACTGCCCAAAGTTATGGTGATTACTATAGTTTCCTCCTAATAATCAAGTGACAAAAAAAGAGGAAATGTTTTTTAAAAGTTACTATTGATTATCCAAAGTGTTAGAGATGTTTATAATTTCCCTATTGAAACATGACCCACAAGGGAACTGAGTCTATGATTTTGGTATTACTAGTTCCTTTGGTTAATGTCTTAAACTACTTTGTTGATCCATGGAGCCTATCTGGATGAAATGGGGATTCTTTTCTAAACAGAATTGTCTGTTTTGCTATTTAGGGGTCCCCCTCTACAGTATAGACAGCCATCTATGAAGTTGGCTCCCTGTGCTGGAAAAGATCATCTTTGGGGATGGGTGACCTTTCCAAGGTTCTGGAAGTAATTATTCTACATCACATGGGGCCTTTTAGTGTGGTGAAGGGCTAACTCCCAAGAAGTACACCCCATGAAGGTCCCATTGTGAATGTCAAGCCCAGCCTGAAAAGCAGCTAAAAATGTTTCACAGGAACTATCCTTTTTCATATAACAGGGCCTCTGCACCCAAGAACTCAAACTTGCAGCCAAATTTACTGCCAGCCACAAGAGAGCCTTAATCTGACTTTACTGGGGTGGGGTGGGAACCAGATAGAGGGAGACAAAGGGTGGAAATGGGGACATCTGTAATACCCTCAACAATAAAGATAAATATATATATATTTTTAAAATAGGGCCTCTTAGAGCCCTCAGTGATTCAAATTTTATCATATTCTCATTCTCTCTCTCTCACTCTCTCTCTCTCTCTCTCTCTCTCTCTCTCTCTTTCTCTCTCTCTCCTCCCCTGCCCAGAGAGAGACTGAGCTGTAGCATAGCATAAGGTTCCTATACTCATTTTGTTATTGGTAATGTGCCCCGAGGTTGGCTAAGGTGGAGAAAAGAAAGGGTGGAGACCAGTGTGGAGATGCAGGAAAAGGAGGAAGAAAATTGGGTGTGGGAGGTTCAGATGGGGCAGAAAACAGGCTCACCCTACATATTTGCCCTTTTCTTGGCCCATGTTTAGCAGCAGTCTCCATTTGGTACAGTGAGAGAAGTGGGGGCTAGTGACTTCCCTGGAACTAAGTTAGGTAGAGTGGAGCAATAGCCTGGAGGAGAAAGAAGCTTCACTTCCTCCATGTAATGTGCACTGATGTCATGATATCATTTCACCCTTTCTAGACCCAAGTCTCTATTTGCAAAATGGGGTTAGACATACATGCAAGATTTTTATCATCAAAGATGATGTGAGAATGAATTGGGCAAACTCTAAGACTGTTTGTCTAGGAAGATGGCAGGGCATGCTCTTTAAGTTGCTGTTAGCCCCTCCTCATCCCCACTGTGAGCATATTTCTAGAAGAAGCACACAAAGACGCAGTTGATATTTCAAGAGGACATTGGTAAAGTCAGATTAAGGCTCTCTTGTGGTTGGCAGTAAATTTGGCTGCAAGTTTGAGTTCTTGTTGGATGCAGAGGTCCTGTTATATGAAAAAAGCATAGTTCCTGTGAAACATTTTTAGCGGTGTTTCAGGCTGGGCTTGGCATTCACAATAGGACCTTCATGGGGTGTGCTTCTTGGGAACTTAGTCCAGCATGGTTACTTACATGACTCATCTCCTCAGCTCTGCCTTTAGAATCAGCAAAGATGTCTACTGCTTCAGTTCCTCAACTGCCATCTTCTCCCAGTAAGTAGTAGGCATTTGGGGACACAAGGTAGGAATTAATCCAGAGATATAGAAAGAAGGTTGAAGGAAGGTAGAACAAGAAGGGCAGG